CAAAATACGGTTGCATTTCTAGTATGGTATAATATAGTATAGTACACAGGGTCCAAAATGAGCATGCAGCAAAAATGCACCAAAATGCAAATCAAACTGGCTTTGGCTTGTAGAGTAAATAAAACAATTACTCACAAAAACCTGCAATATTACATGGTGTAAATCAAACTGTCACTCATGTAAGAGACATGTGTTGTTCAAATCAACTAAATCTACTTGAAATAAAAATAAAAAGAAGCTTATCTAGAATGCCTGAAGTTTTTATTCTTCAGACATCCATGTGGTGACACATGAGGGATAATTCCTCATATACCTTTAAAATAAAAAATATATTAATAACAATGTTAAACAAAAAAAACAAAAAAAATGTAACAAAACTACATAACATTAAAGAACAACATATCAAAACATATATCAAAATATAAAGGAACAAAACATAAAACAACAACATAAAACAGCATAACAAGACATATCATAAAACAACAAAACATTAAAATATAACAAAACAACATAACGTAACAAAATTGCATAACATTAAACAACATTAAATATAACAAAACAATGTAATATAAAACAATGTAACAAAACAGCATAACAAAACAAAATAACAGCATAAAAGAACAAATATAATGTAACATGAAACAGCATTGCAAAACAAAACGTAACATAAAACAGCACAATGTAACAAAACAACAATGTAAGATATAACATGTTTTGTGACAGATCTTTTACATCTGCAGAGTGTTGCACGGAAAAAAACAGCTCAATCACTTAACTGTAAGATAAATGCATGAATAAAGAACATGCAAAATACAGTTGTATGGCTGGTAAGAAATACATAATTCTCCCACTAATGACAGTGTGGCAAAAACTTCATTTTGAACCCCGACAGTAACATTTCAAAAAGTAAAACACAACATGCCCATGTGTTCAATAACTCATCCTCAGCTGTGACTAGTCTTTTGGAAGTGCATATTGTAGTGCAGCCTGTACTAACAAATACAATGAGACAAGAAGCACCGGAGTGAAGCACATGATTACTACTGTAAAGAAGAGTAGCATGAGGCTAATAGACTGTGTTTACAGTGTTAGGAGTGTGAATAAACATGTCACACAGAAGCATTAATCACACACACACACACACACACACACACACACGTCTCTCTAGACTGGCATATGGCAAGTGTGACGACTGTATCACAATGCATCAGCTCATAATTTACATTATAACACTCCAGTTTTCACCTCTGACCAGCGTTAAAGTTGTTGCAAAAGACTGAACAGAAAGACTTGAGATTCATTTATTCACAAATCATTCATCATGCGCCAACATTTTGTTGTCACTCCAAAGTGACAGATAGTATTTTAGGAAGCAAAACAAATGAGCCGTCTTGTAGCTTTGTCACTTTAACTTTGTGTTTTGGTATTTGATCACAAGTTAGTTCAAAGGTAAATATGCTTGATGAAGATCATAAACATGCAAACGAGTAGTTAACCCAAAAATGAACATTTGCTGAAATTGTGCTCACCCTCAGGCCATCAGAGATGAGTTTCTTTCTTTATTTTGGCTTCTCCAGATGTTAACTGATGGACTGGAGTGGTGTGGATTATTGTGATGTTTTTATCAGCTGTTAGGACTTTCATTCTGACGGCACCCATTCACTGCAGAGCATCCATTGCTGAGACACTGATGCAATGCTACATTTCTCCAAATCTGATGAAGAAACAAACTCATCCTAATCTTGAATGGCCTGAGGGTGAGTACAATTTCAGGTTTGTTTCATATACTGGCTCTATAAGATTTAAATGGTGTTTAGCAACTATACTAAAGAAACAAACAGAATGATGAGTCAGAAATTAGTTCGATTTTTGATTTTAGACAAGCATGGACCCAAACAAGACAATAAAACCCATAGTGTGCTGTGTCGATGCCAGAACCATAACGCAGTCCTTCAGTTAACCAATCACATCGCTACTAAATAGGTCTGTCAAAAAAAATTTGAATTTCGAATATTCGTCGAATTTAAAATAAAAATCCACATTTTAGGTTGTTGAATTTTAGGTGTGCGTCAGACAGCCTTATCAGCGGCGCACGAGACACGATGACGATGTAAGTGTAGTTGCATTATAATGTTTTTTAGCCTCTCCAGTTGAACCCACTAGATGCGGTGCTGCTGCGTTGCTCATTAAAAATATTGCAGAAAAAGAGAACGTCAATGCGGAGAAGATCTTGTTTACGTCAAAACTAAAACCAAGCCGTTCACACAGAACGCATATTTCGCGCATTTTCTAGAGGGACATCTATCACCGTTGCACTCGCGTCTCGCACAAAAGAGCCGCATGTTTAGAAAGTCATGTAAAATTAATGCAAGTTTAACTTTGAAAAGACATATCTCGAGACTTTGTGGCGGGGGATTTTTCCCACCCCACTGCAACTCGTGTTTTTAAAGGTGCCATAGAATGCATTGATACCTACAATGATTCTCTGATATCTACATAGAAGGTATGTGGCTTAGTTAAGGGCAAAAAATCTCCAGAAACGGTTTTACATGTCCATTTACAACCCTAGGATTTGTCCTCGCTTGTTTCTTCACAATACCTGCAGAACTTCTGATGATTTGGCTGTGCAGGTTCGGCTGGCGGCTGGCATAGAACATGGGCGGGTATATGCAAATGTTGGGGGCGTAACTATTAGTGATCCCGACTGTAACGTCACAGTCGGTGTTATGTTCTGATTCGCCTATTTTTCACTGGTCTTTTGCATGCACGAGATTTACATAAGAAGGAGGAAACAATGGCGTTTGAGGCTCACGGTATGTCATTTCCATGTACAGAACTGTTATTATTCAACTATGCCAAGGTAAATAGTCAGTTTTCCATTCTATGGCACCTTTAAATGAAAAATGTAGGCTACTCTGTGTGATTGGCTTTCGGTCCTTTGTATTAAACTATGCATACAAACATGATGCTGTTTTGTTTATAGTTGTTTAAGCAACTTAATTAATTATAATTGGTTTATAAACATTATTTTAAACATTATGCACTTTTTTTCCACAGATAGTCATGTTATCTTATGCTTTGAATAAACGTGCATTAGTAATATTTTGCTCGATGCGCCCTCTTGTGGCCTCAGGAGAGAAGCCAAAAGCTGTTCTTTACCCTAACTGAAATTATGCATTTTTTTCAGCCATTTTGACAGCCCTGCTACTAACCTGATGAGGTTAACTGAGACCAACTACGCAGCCTAAACCAAAACTCTTGCTCTAAAAACACGCACACACAATCTCTGTCACCTGAGTCAGTCCTGCGCTGACGGACGGTTCCCAAGCGGTCTTTCTCTCAAATAAATAAACACAAAACACACAATGTCTGTCTCTGTAGCACTAACTCATCCAGACAGCAGAGCCTCGGGGAGCAGACGAGACTTCAGCTGTCATTTCTCACCAGCTTTCTTCCTAAACAGCATGATGGAGATGAGCTGATATTATGTGTGGAAAAGAGCAGGAAATGTTTCCTCGCTGCTCTGGCGAAAAAATAATTTTCAGAATAACAGCTCATAAATTCAGTATGTTTATTAACATACATTATGTGTATCTATTTCCTGCCATTTTTCATATACTGAATTGAGGTTATCATCTTGAATGATGTTGAGGTGATCTACATACAGTGTTATTGTCATGTTATTGCTTTTCACAGTAATTATTATTTTTTACTAATTAGTTTATTTAGTTTTAAATATTTTAGTACTTCCACTGAAACGAAAATGAAAAATTAGCTGAAATAGGTTTTTTTGTGGGGGTTTTTTCACGTAACAACTTTTTAAAAATGGTTTTAGTTTTAGTTAACGATAACAACCCTGATGAAAACTATAAATGTAATTCTATTGGTTAAAGTTAGAGATGCACTGACATTTAAATTCTGGTCGCAAATGACTACTGGATAATTATTTGCATGTTATAGACAATAAAGAGTTAATATTAAAAATGTTTACCTTTTAATAAACATTAAAAACTAAAATTAATAGTTTTATGCTACATCAGCATTTAGGCAGACTTTAGTATGGTATACCAGTTTAGTATACTAAAAGTACAAATGGAGGGTATTTTTATTAAGCACATAAATATGTAAATGTATTTGCAGAATACTTAGCACAAAATAATGCATACGTTCTCGATACTGACATACCATTACATGTGGATAAATGACCAACTTTATTTTTTTATTTTTTTTAATATCACTCTCCTTAGGCCTAATTTACTAGAGGTTCAAGCAAAAATGGCTGCAGTCTATTTATAAAATATATTTAATATTCAACGAAATGTTAAAAAAAAATAAGTTGAACAAATGATTCAATGACTCGCTCATAACGACTTCACTTGTTTCATTCCTGAATGAATTAACGTTTTTTGAATGAATCTCTTTTTAAGTCACTTGTGTTGTAATTGATACTACAATCTTTATTAGAAGCGTCGTTACTTTCAAAAAGGTGATTTATTCTATTTTGATCGCTACTGTAGACAATAGTATTTATATCGTGTATTCCAGTACTTCTGTGATCATTTTAAGGGTTGTAACAGAAATAATAACGATACAAAAGACTTTGTGAACATAGATAAACTCTATGTAAATTCTATATAAATTCTTGTTCGACATAGATAAATTCCAAAAAGAAAGAAAAAATAAAATCGTCCCCAACAATTCAATATGATAAACTGATTTATTGTTTTCAGTTTGACATTGTTCTGGCTGGCAGCCTAAAATACATATTAAATACGCACGTTTTGGCATTTGTTCCACACACACACACAAAAAAAATATTTTCAAAACAGTGCCAATATGGTTTTCACTGTGACAACATGCCCCGCTTTAATGTCAACGAACCGAATTCCTCTCAGGAAACGTTCGCTAGCATAGTTGTAGTAAAGGAAATACACCCTTAATGTTGTACGTTAGTGGAGTCAGAATATGTGTTCGGTTGTAATTTTAAACAGATAACTCACGTCTCTGAAGCGGTTCCAGTGTTTGACGGTGCGGCTGTAGCGGTGGACCGTTGAGAGCCACTGCTGCTCGTCTTCCAGGAAATTCCCGCCACCGATCTCCCGCGCTTCTCTCGCGCTCAGCGTCACGAGCAGCAGCTGAAGAACGGATAAACCTCGCATCATGAGCCGCTTCTCACGAATAAACACCGGAGAACCGAGGCGACGGTCTGATGTCTGCTCAGGAGACGCGCAACGACCGGACTGAAGAGAGAGAGAGAGAGAGAGAGAGAGACAGATGGAACATTTTCAGTATCATCTTCAGCATCACATGATTCTTCAGAAACATACTAACGTGATTTGCCATCATAGGAAAAAATAGATTTTAAAGTATATTCAGAATTACGAGATATAAACTCAGAACTGCGAGAGATAAACTCAGAATCAGAAAAATTTCAAATAATCCTGTTTTTATGTATCTGGGCCATTTAGTAATTCAAACTCTTTCCAGGTGTCAAAACGTACAGTTTGGAAAACTGTATTTAAACATATTTATGATGCCAGAAAATCGATATGGAATTTAAAGAAACAGACATAAAGAACACTTCTGCAGCTGGCAGTATATCGATCGATACAGTTTAACCTATTTCAAATGAAGGTATATTTCAAATAAACCTGATTGCCGTGACAATTGAGATGTTATTAAAAGAATAACCTCATGAAAATAAGGAAAGCATTGCGTTCAACAAAAGCAAAGCAGCAAGGTTTATGTATGTGAGCTATTAATTTAATCTTTTACTAATTGACAATAAATCCACAATATTATATTTCAACCCAGCAGACTTCAGCAGCTCTTTGAGAATGAAACAGATGTGAATGGATTTTCTGTGACATGATGTGCAACTATAAAGCGCTTGCACTTCATCAAAGACGTCTGAAGATAATAAACGAGAAACACTCAGGTTTGCTGAAGCGCTGTGAATGAGAGCTGGAGGTTGCAGGTGGGCAGAAGAAGCCCACGGCCTTAACTCAACGCTCATTTATTGAGTGGGAAGATGTGAAACCAGGTTGGAGTTCACTGCCTCTCGATATGAAATAAAAGCGTCTGTTGGCAGCATTTTTCAGCTGAAAGAACATCATTTACTTCATACGGCTCACTGCAAACCTGGAGGAGATGATGAAAATCACTGACACCATCGCTCCTGATGAAAGAGAAATTCTGCTGCGCATTACATTCAACTATAACATAAAGACCCGAGCCGAGAGAGTGCTCTCAATGGGAGAATAAATCCTACCTGCAAAATCCCGATCATGTAATATCCACAATGATCTAGGCCTATATTTGACAGTATGATCTGGGATGACAGCTCGACTCATGCAGTTGTTGTTTTTAACTTGTAGTGTAAATATGTGCATATTTAAATGTAATATTTTAATTATTACATTTAAATATACACATACGTATTTACACTATAAGTGTAAATAGTCAAAAAAAAATCATAAATTAAAATCATAAAACGCTATGCATCTGTGTAATTATTATACTTTTTTCTATGGTAAGTTCTAAAATATTTTATTGGATAGAATAATATAGATGATATCATGCTTTTAAAAAAATATTAAAAATTAAAATTATTTTATATAATTCTGAGATATAAACAACAATTCTGAGAGCTAAACTCAGAATTGCAAGATGTATAAACTCAGAATTACGAGATATAAACTCAGAATCTGAGTTTATAATATTAATTAATATCTTAATTAATTAATATTTTAATTATTACATTTAAATATACACATATGTATTTACACTAAGTGTAAATAGTCAAATCACTACAGAATGGTGAATTGATATAGTGTGAGTGTGTGTGTGAGTG